CCCCAAAACCCCAAAACCCCAAAACCCCTTATTTAATAAAAATATTGAAAACAATAAGGATGAAGAAACGAAGGTAGTATCTCTCGAGTCTTTAATTTATAGAAAAATTTACCAAAAATTTTGCAAAATGCAATCAAGCACTGACACTAGCCCAATAGTTATCAACAAAGAGTAATTATATCTCTCACAACTAGAATCTACACCAAATTTCCCGCTGGAGAAATAGTACCTCTAAAGCGTAAGGTTAAAGGGGTAGATGGCACTCGCTTAATGAATGAATTCATTCTCTCTAAGGATGGAATCATGCATAAAGACTTTATGAAATTATCATTAATCCCTAAACGGAAGCGTAAGAAAGCCAAGGCTACTTGTAAGGCCCAGGTTAGGACTCGGTACGTATATTTTTACTAAATAAAACTTCAATTTCACCAGAAAATAATCTTTAGATAGGTCTCAATCAGTGTTAATTCCCTCAAAGACTCCTATGTCTAAGAGCCAAAATTCTGAATTACTACAGAAAAATTACAAGGTCACGATAAAAAGAGGGATTTTAAATCAAAAGTAAGTCTAGCAAGGAGCTACGATAGGATCACACCTTGCGATAGTCTCGAATTATAGGCTGATTGGTTAGACTAACAGGTCTATTTACTAATTTACAGCCCATAAACTTTCTGAAATCTTGCTATTTATATCTTCTGAGGTGCCAAGCTCTGAATTGTCACTAAACAAGATCAATATTGTTGCCAAAAAAATCGAGAAATTACAATTTTTATCAAAATTATCAACATCTAAATTCCTAAAATATTTTTCAAAATTTCAAAATGAACTATTTTCTGAGGTTGCACTTTTTAAACTCTTTTCTTCATAAATGTGCGCTATTGCTAACCCTCATCCTACAGCAATAATTCAGGTGAGGATAAATAATGAACAAATATGGCAAGAATACTTCAAGATGAGGAGGTGAGTCCCCTCTTGATCTCTAGGGCTAAGATTATCAAACGGTTCATTGAACAGAAGATATTCCAGAAAGGCATAACCAGTTGTATTGAAGGCAAACTATCTCTTAAGAGAAAAACTAGTGCAGACACCAGAAATCGGCAGTGTTTGGATGAAAAGCATGATGATATGAACAGAAGCCAGATCATTACTGCACTTGATAGGAGTAAGTCCACACTCGGTGCTTTGGCTTTACGGTTAATTGATAGATTATAGGTCGATACAAAAGCCCAATCAATGCTAAATACTTCCACAAGGCTCTGAAATATTTATATAAGCCAAAATATGGGTAGAAAGATACTTCCTCCTCCTACCTCTCAAGAGTTTTGTTTAAAATCTTCCAAAAGATCCCTTAAGATTCTTCCAAGATCGAGATCTTCCCAGCGGCAGTTAAAGTCACAGTCAGTGCTGTTTGTAGTTTCCCAAAAATAAGTGAATTTGTTTCAAAAATTTAAATAATTTTAGGGGTTTTGGGGTTTTGGGGTTTTGGGG